AAAAAATTGCCCTGGCCGGTTTGGCTCAGCGGTTAGAGCGTCGGCCTGCGGTCCTGAGAGACCTGGATTCGGTTCCCGCTAAGGGTGCGTACCTCGGTTGCAGTTTGTCCCCGGTCGGTTGTGCGGGTGGCAGCCACTCGATGTGTTCCTTTCACGTCGATGTTTCTCTCTCTCTCTCTCTGTTCCTCTCTCTCCCTCCCACTCTACCTGAACAGAAAATGGAAAAATGTCCTCGGGTGAGGATTAAAAAAAAAAATTTTTTTAAATTCTTTATGGTAAAGCATCTACTACAATGCAAGATTAAATAAGCATTGGTAATGAGCTTTTTTTTCCTATAATTTTTCACAATCATGAATATTTGAATGCATACATTGTTTTTCAAAGCACTAAAAATTTTTCAACATTTTGCTCAATAAAAAATCTGATATCCCAATCTGAAACTCATGCAATAAGCTCTGTGACGAATTCAAATTTTGAATTAGTAGAGTAAAAATTGAGGATTTTAAATATTGCACTATCATTTTCTATTACTCTTTTAACTTTGTGTCTCCACAGAAAGCAGAGGTTTCCAACATTTTCATAATCCAATGAAAATCTCTAGAGGAAAATTTTCCCTTAGTTTTCAACTCACTGTCCCCAAATTATACTATCACCAGCAAAACAAAACAAAACAAAACAAAACAAAACCCTACCCTTCCCCCCAAAAAAAACCACTTATCCACTGGTTTTATAATAGTCCTCTGAGGTATTCAATCAGGGTCTTTATTTTAGTTAGATAGCAGACATTCAACTTTACCTATAAATGTATTAAATCATTCTCATCTTTTACTCACTGAAGAATACATATATTTACTGATACAGAGTCATTCAGTGTAACATACCTAAAAATATATCTCTAGATAGGACCAATGATTTAATTTTAAAAAATAAAATAAAAAGATACTACAGCCCTAAAAATGCAGCCTCTAGTATAATTGCATTTATTATTAATTCTCTAGGCATAGATGAGGGTAAACTCGAATAATTGGGTCCTTGGCATATGAAACAATGACAAGCTCTATTTCTATGAATTAGCTAACTGCTTAATATGCCAACATGTTTTAAGAGTACTTTAGAGGCAGGGGAGGGAAGAGATAAACCACAGAACTTATACGCATGTATGTATAACCATGGCCATAAACAACAATGCTGGGGATGGGGCAGGTGTGGGGGATCGGGAGGAAGGTGTCAGTGGGGGAAAAAGGAGAAACATCTGTAACAAAAAGTAATTAATTAAAAAAAAATAGTACTTTAAATACTTGATCTCATGCAATCCTCGGAAAAAAAAGAACCACAGACCTTAAACAATTTATTCTAGGTCACACAGTCAGTGAGCATGGCTGGAAGGATTTGGATTCACTTTTGACACACCACAAAGAGGTATGTTATGAACAAGACTAGTAAATGCAATGAAGAAGCTGTGCAGTGAAGCTTGCTTAATTGAGTCAGAAGACACTACCACTAGTTATCTACATGGTCTTGAGCAATCATCTCTCTGGTCTATGCCTCAGTTTCCTTACTATAAAATGAAGAAGTGAGCCCTGGCCAGTTTGGCTCAGTGGTTGGAGTGTAGGCCCCTGACCAAAGAGTCTTGGGTTTGATTCCGGTCAAGGGCACGTACCTAGTTTTCGGTTCAGTCCCTGGCCCTGGTCAGGGTTGTGTGGGAGGCAATTAATCGATGTGTGTCTCTCACATTAATGTTTCTCTTTCTCTTTCTCTATCTCTTTATCTCTCTCTCCCTCCCTCCCTCCCTCCCTCTTTTCCTTCCTCCCACTCTATCTGAAGATAAATGGAAAAATATCCTTGGGTGAGGATTTAAAAAAAAAGATGTCCTGGCCTGCTTGGCTCAGCGGTTAGAATGTAGGCCTGCAGTCCAGGGAAACCCGGGTTTGGTTCCCACTAAGGGCGCGTACCTCAGTTGCAGTTTGTCCCTGGCCCTGGTTGGGTTGTGTGGGTGGCAGCCACTCAATGTGTTTCTTTCACGTCGATGTTTCTCTCTCTCTCTTCCTCTCTCTCCCTCCCACTCTATCTGAACAAAAAAATGGAAAAATGTCCTCAAGTGAGGATTAAAAAAAAAATGAAGTGAGGCTACTTTGATATGCACCAATGTTTAAAAATTTTGTGTACTAAAGATTATAAGTTCACAAATAGCCAGACTATTAATTATGTTATTATAAATTCACAATAGCCTGATTTTCTAAAAATCTAAACTTCTCTCATTTTTCAGAAAATTTAAATTTTATTTTAGAAAAACCTGGATATCACGGAATCTCCTTGGGTGGCCAACTCAGTCCCACTCCAACTGTTTTTGTTATTCCACCCTGAGGCACCTCTTAGAATGACACACTCAAGAGAAACATTTTCAACTCCAAAAGCATTGCTAAGTAAGATATATTTTGCTAAAAGCTCTTCCTCAAAATCTCTAATTACCTTTGCTCTTTCCCCAAAGTTTCTCTCCCCACGATACTGGGTACATTTCTTTCTCTTTCCTATTTCTACCAATTTCTCCGGCATCCTCTTCCCCACTCTCAAAATCCTATTTGCTTGTACCCAACAAATGTCCAGGACTGGCCAAAACCCAGTGAGGTTCCAGTTCATAACAGGTATTTTAATACAGTATTTTACTGCCAAGTCCTTTGGCCTGGAAATTCTATCAGTTCAACTAATAATTTTATTTATTTTCTTTATTAATTTTAGAGAGAGAGGAAGGGAGAGGGAGAGAGAGATAGAAACATCCATGAGAGAGAACATAGACTGGCTGCCTCCCACTGGGGTCTGGGCCCACAACGTGGGCATGTGCCCTGACCTGGAACCAAACCGGGGACCTCTTGGTGCATGGGCCATCGATCAACCACTGAGCCACACCTGCTGGGCCTAATGAAGACTTTATAAAGCACCTCTCCTATCACGTTTTCTTCCCTGCCCTACTCCAAAGCCACTACCAACATAACTGACAAGAGTATGCTATATGCAATGAAAGCAATCCCATTTTGTTCCAAGTTGTATTTAGTATATTACATAGTTCATTAAGAGGCTAACTGGAATTACATATGCAAACATATTAAAAAATACACATCTCTATATCCACCTTCCAAACAGTGTGATTTTGATTTAGACTCATTTGATCATGAAAAGAACAGTTTAATTTTAGCCTACTTAGTTTCTTAAAGTTTCAAAGTTCTTTATATATAGCATTCTAAATCTTCTGTCAACAAGCAGGGCACAACTTGCCAGAGGGGAAAAATTGGGTGAGGGAAAGAAAGGGAAACCCCTTATGTACTTAGAGCAAACATATGACATGTACTCATCTAGACAATGTAATTCTAAATTACCATAAGAATTTGCCCAGAATCAGTGATTTAGTATGACAACACCATTTTTGAACTTAAGGTATAAGTTATGATTTTTCAATAAATTTACCTTGAAAAAAGAGTGATATTCTACAAACAGTAACAAACTATTAAGACAGCAAAGGTAAAAAACCAAATTATGCATTAGGAATTCTAAATTTAACACCTAGATTACAGCAAGGAAAGCCCTCACAACACCATTCACAAGTCTCAGTTCAAGCTATTTATTTTTGGCAAGCCAAATCACAGCTGTCAACACTGGTTTTTTTTCCACCCCAAAATTACATAAAGTATTTTGAAAAAATGTAGACATCTTCAACTGGGGGAAAAGTAGGTTATAAATGCCGTGTGTTGTTATAACTGCTTTAAAAAAAAAAAAGTCACACGGAAGGGGTTTTAAAAAAAAAGCAAACAAACAAACCCTGGAAGATGCAGCAGAGCCCCCTTGCTCCCGAAATAAAACTCCTGGTGTCTGTAACAGCAGCGGCAGCGCTACTCCCGACAGAAGTTTTCAGCTGTCACTTCTAACAGCTGAGCGCTTCCTAGGAGAGAAGCGACAGGCCGAGAAGAGAAGTGGTTGTGGGAGGTCTGAAGATTTAATACTTGAAATTTTACACTCGAAGGGAAACCCTTCCGCACTTCACCTGCACTTAAGGGGACACCCAGCAAGCGCAGTCCCCCTCCCTCCCAACACACGCTACACCACTCGCGCCCCGCCACACTTGAGTCCAACAGCTAGAGGAATCGACCACGCGCCCTTTCTCGTTCCCCCCATAGACTGCTCCGGGCTGCGCTGATCTGGAGCTAGGGACGCAACCAGCACCTGCGAGCCCCGCAGCGGCCTCACACCTAGGGCCAGGTCCGCCCCGCCCCGCCCGCTCCCCTGTCTCGGGCCGCGCGGCGCTTCTGCTTCTCCTGGAGACTACGCACCCCCTGGGTCTCCGCGCTCTCGGACGCGCCGGGCTTCCAGGGCCCGCGCCGCCGCCCCAGCCCTGTCACCTCCGGCCCCCCCGGGACCCCGGGCCTCACCCCCTCCTCCAGCTCATCCTCAGAGCCCGCGTCCTCTGGCTGGTCCAGGTCTATGTCAAACACTCCTGCCATGTCCTCAGCCTCCCTGTCTCGGAAGTCCGGCGCTGGGTAAAAGCCGTCCCGCCTCCGTCGTCGCCTCATGGGCCCGGACCCGCCGCAGACACAGCCGCCGCTGCCGCCATGACTGGCTGCTTGGGCTCAGTGCGTCTGCGCCTAGGCCTTAGACTGGCTCCTCAAGTTCAGCGCTAGAGCATGCGTAAAGGGTTCTATGAAGCCCAACTGTGGGCAATGAACATGCGTAGAACTATCTCCAGGAGTCAGGTATTGGCACAAACATGCGCAGAACCCCTGTCGAAGCCGTTCTTGGAAGCTAGATCTTGCGCATTGTCAGCTAAAGCATTTGATGGACAGTGAGCATGCGTACAGTGTCTGAAGTTGATAACTTAAAATTGAACATGCGTAATTAACCTTTTTGAATAGGAAAAAAAAAACAACATTAAACAAAACTCTTAGTCTGTTGAACATGCGCATGCGTTCTCCCTAGCTTTTTGGGTGTTGAAAGTGCGCACGCGCATAATGGCCCTCCGAAGTTTGAACAAGACCGAAACGGATGGTTCTGGGGCTGTCAGTGAGTGGGATTAATGGGGAGCTCCTAGGATTAGAGGGGAAAGGGAGAATCTAAGCTTTGCTATTTACCAGTTAAGTGGCCTTGCGAAAATCACTTAACCTTTCAGAGCCTCAGTTTCCTTATCTATAAAACGAGAGTAATGATACCTAGTTTTCAGGGTAGTTTTATAAATACAGAGTATGGCTCACAAGCCACTGCCCTTTCCAGTGCGGCATAGACCTGGTGTAAGGTATTTACCAAAAAAATTTGTCTTTTTAGTTTTATAAAATAGTGAAGATTTGCTGTAATATTTCATCTGGTCCAATTTTTGCAACCTTGGTCTTCCTTGCTGTCCTATCTGAACTAAACACACAGTCTTTCTTACGAATGTTCTTGTAGTTACCAGGCCAGAAATGTGATTGATGGAGAGACAGTCATTATTTAGAAGAAAGTTAATGTTAATTAAATGTATGAATGTTGAGCTAACTTCTGCGTTCTCTGTGTCCCTGTGGTGGGAAGTGCATACTATTAATTCCTTCAACCAGCATTCATTTTGTTTTGTTTTAAATGCATGCACAGGAAAATAGTGAATACAAATCAAATTTTGGAAACTGTTGAGCTGTATATGACTGGATTTGGGTACAGTAAATCCCAAATCCCAAAACCATGTAAAAGAACAACTTCCTTACGTGATTGGCTCCTTAGATAACATAGCTAATTCATCTATAACACCATAGATATATATGGCATTTTAAAATTATGTAGTTTATTGATGTATATTAACACATGGCATTTTATTTGTTCTTTATTTATTGGTAATGTCGTGGTTCTCAATATATTTTCATTTTACAGGTTGCTCACCTTTTTGAGGAAATAGGCTTACTTTGTGTCTCAGCATGTCAATAATAACAGTGCAACTTGGTCAGTGTGGCAACCAGATTGGTTTTGAAGTGTTTGATACTTTATTTAGTGATTCACACTGTCCCCAGGGACTCTGCTCTAAAAGAGAGAATGAGGCATATCAAGCATCTTGTAAAGAACGGTTCTTCAGTGAAGAGGAAAATGGAGGTATGTGTGGTCCACAGTCCTCTCCTTTACTCTGACATAACCAACCACTTCAAGGCCACGCCATCCACATGGTCTCTGAACTCCATCCCTTCCCCTTTTACTAGGAAATGACTTTGCTTTTGATCCTTTGTTTCTGTGTTAACAACCTTTACCTTTATGGTGACATCTTCCCCCACAGCACAAGAGCCTGCCCACATCTTGCCAATCTAAAAACAAACAAGTAAATAAAACTTACCTTTTGACTATAGCTTTTTTCTTCTTTATTACCTCTTTGCCTTCTCATCTAAGAGTCTCAAAGGATAACCTTCTTTAACCAGTTATAATCTTGCTTCTGCCCTGTATCACTAAAGCCACTCTAAGAAGAGTTCCCAGCAATACCCTAATTACCAAATCCAGTAACTGTTTTCTTTTTGTAATTCACTTAACTTCTCTACTGGATTTGATAACATTAATTATAAAACTCCCTCCTTGAAACTCCTTCTCCTTAGGGTCTGAACCTTTCTTCTCCAGTGGTTGTATCTCAGGTTTTCCTCTGTCCTCACTTGTACAGTTCTCTCTGGGCAATTTCAATTTCTCTTGTAATTTGCTACATCTTTTACACAAATGACTCTCAAATCTCTAGCCTAGCCTCTATTCCAGGGTGCGATTAGACATCTCCACTTGCATCTTCCCTGTGTACCTCAAACTCAGCATCTCAATACCCAGGAGCATTCATTATTTTGCCTTTAAAACTTGGGTTCTTGCCCAGCCAATGTGGCTCCCATGGACTGAGAGGTCCCGGTTCGATTCCCTGTAAGGGCACATGCCCAAGTTTTGGGCTTGATCCCCAGAAGGGGGTGTGTGGGAGGCAGACGATCCATGTTTCTCTCTCACATTGATGTTTCTATCTCTCTTTCCCTTCCTCTCTAAAAAAAAAAAAAAAAAAAAAAATCAGTAAAACCATATTTAAAAAAAATATTCTATAAAACTTGGGTTCTTACTGCTCATATACTATCAAACATCAAGGTCTGCTTAATTTATCTCCTACGTATCTCTTGAAACTATTCTGCCCTTTCCATCTTCACTGTCATTGCCTTAGTTTTAGCTCTTGTCCTCTTTCACCTGGACTGTTTCAAGACACTCTTTCTGAGTTTGCCTGTCTAGACTCTTGTGACGGTCACATCTATCTTCCACACTGCTATATTAAAAAAGACATCTGGCCCTGGCCGGTTTGGCTCAGCAGTTGGAGCATTGGCCTGCGGACCAGAGAGTCCCGGGTTCGGTTCCCACTAGGGCACATACCAAAAAAAAAAAAAAAAAAAAGACATCTGATTGTTCCTCCCCTGCTTGAATATTTTCAGTGGTTTCATATTGCCTAGAAGATACATTTCAAGCTTTTTAGCAATGCATACAAGGACTTCCAAGATCTGAGCCCTGCCTGCTTTCCATCTCTATTCATCACTTCTTCTACCCCCTCCTAAACTGCTTGTTACGCTCATGGTATTTTGTACCTCTGAATATACTACTCGGTTAATGTGAATTTGTCATGGGTCATCGCATGATATAGTGATTAGGTGTTTCACCTCTCCAACTAGTCCTTCTAGGGCTGGATTGATACTGTCTTCATCTCTGTGTTCCCAGCACAGTACATGGCACACTGGAAGCACTCAATAGATATTTGTAGACCTGACCCAGTGATCATTTTAGCTCACACTGAATCATCTTGCTTAGCAGAATGCTACGTGTTATGAACCATCTGCATATACCTGCTGCTGCCCACCTCAGTTTCTAAGCAGTAGGACAGATCTTTCTATCCTCAAACTTTGGATTTGGGAGGTGGTTCTTAGAAGTTTATACTCTGTGTTAACCTGAATAAGACATGTGAAATATTATTCTTTTATTTTTGCCCCCTCTCTAGTTCCAATTGCCCGGGCTGTACTTGTTGATATGGAACCTAAAGTCATCAATCAAACACTATCAAAGGCTGCCCAGTCTGGCCGATGGAAATATGGCCAGCATTCATGCTTCTGTCAAAAACAAGGTTCTGGAAACAACTGGGCATATGGGTAAGAATAATTCATCACAATTCTTCAGTTTAGATACAGCTGCATAGTTGATTAATAGAGAGTGTAGTTACCACTGCACTGTTGATATACCAAGCACATTGTTGCTTTAAAATTTAGGGTGTGGCCTGGCCAGTGTGGATCAGTGGATTGAGAGTTGTCCCATGGACTGAGAGGTCCCGTTCCATTCCTGATCAGGGCACATACCTGGGTTTCGGGCTCGATCCCCTGTAGGGGGTGTGCAGGAGGCAGCTAATAGATATTTCTATCTCTCCTTTCCTCTCTCTCTCTCTAAAAAAATCAGCCTGGCCATGTGGCTCAGTGGTTGAGCAACAACCCATGCACTAAGAGGTCGTTGGTTTGATTCCCAGTCAGGGCATATTCCCAGGTTATGGGCCAAACCCTCAGTGGGGGACATGCAGGAGGCGGCCAGTTGATATTCTCTCTGATCAATGTTTCTATCCCTCTCTCCTTTCCTCTCTCTCTCAAATCAATAAAGAAAAAAAAAATACTTTTTAAATCAATAAAAGCATATTTTTAAAAATTCTGATTTAATTGGTATTGGTATTTAAAAATCCCAAATGTTGAGATTTTTCAGTGCTTTCCTAGGTGATTGTAATGTGCAAAAAAGTTCAAGACCACTGTTTTAAGAGTATCGTTATGAGTATTGACTATTATGTTGTACCATAAGCTTACAGAAGTAATTGAAGTCTCCAGCTAAAGAAATGGCCTTCAACAGAATTTCCTGTACCTAGTCAGTTCACTCTCCTAGAGTCCTACTCTAACTGTTAAATATGTTTAACTTGTGTATTTTTTTAAATACGTTTTTATTGATTTTTTTAAACATTTATTTTTATTTATTTTTTGGAGAGAGAGGAAGGAAGCGAGAGAGAGAAACATCCATGTGAGAGAGATACATCGATCAGCTGCTTCCTGTACACCCCGTTTGGGATCAAGCCTGCAACCCAGGCATGTGTCCTGACTGGGAATCGAACTGGGACCTCTCAGTCCATGGGATGAAGCTCAATCCACTGAGCCATCCGGTTGGGCTAACTTGCATACTTTAAATTTTGTGCCTTTCATAGGTTTAGAAAGACTTCTCTATCCTCTGTCTTTCTCTTTGCATTGCATATTTCTGGTTAAATTGTAAGGTGTTTGTGTTTGTTCCTTTTGAATTGCATAGCTATTCTGTTCACGGACCCAGGCATGAAGAATCTATAATGGACCTGATCCAGAAGGAAGTAGAGAAATGTGATTCTTTGAGTGGTTTTTTCATCATAATGAGTATGGCTGGAGGCACAGGATCTGGGCTAGGAGCCTTCATTACACAGAATTTACAAGATCAGTATTCCAACTTTTTGAAAATGAATCATATTATATGGCCTTATGGAACTGGTGAGGTATGAACACATTAACTGAAATGATTGTATTTTGTGTTCTTTGCAATTGAAATACATATAGGCAAAAAAGTGATTTGACCCTTTCTTTGGAAATGTTAAGTTATTGCATCAGGAGTTGACCCTACAATATGGTACTTGCATGAACAATTCATTTAACTTTGCTCAAACTTTTCCAAACAAATGAGGTGTCCTGGTTTTTAAAAATTGCCAAAGAAGACAATTGTGCATTTTCTCTCAGGAACCCATACCTGGGTTAGTCCCTCTGGCTACATATATAAAGCAGGGACTTTGAGAAATCATGAAATGGAGGTAAGATAAGTCACTACAGGAAACAAGGTAGGAAGAAAGTGTGATAGTAACGCTCATCGCTTATTGAATCCTTGCTATATACAGGGCACTGTTCTAAGTGCTTTACATGCATGCTGTCATCAACCTTTAAAACTCTAGGAGCCTGGTATAGTTATTATTCCCATTTACAAAGGAGGGAACTGAGGCATAGAGAGATTAACTAATTTGTCCAAGATCATATAGCCAGAAAGTGACAGGGCCAGGATTCGATCCCAGGCAGGATGCCCTGAGAATTCACCCTCTTAACCACTATTCTCTCCCGCCTTTCTTATTTCTGACATTTTTCTCTCCAGGTTATTGTTCAGAATTACAACTCCATTTTGACTCTTTCTCACTTGTACCGATCTTCAGACGCCCTCCTTGTTCATGAGAATGATGCTGTTCATAAGATCTGTGCAAAACTACTGAACATCAAGCAGATCTCCTTCAGCGATATAAATCAAGTCCTTGCCCATCAGCTGGGAAGTGTATTCCAGCCTACTTATTCTGAGGAAGGCTCATCTCGCTACAGAAGAAATCCACTAGGTATTTGTCCTTCTCCGTTACTGATAGGAAAGTCTTATGTTCTGAAAGCCTCGGAGTCATTCTTTCTTGGCTCCTCTCCTCTGCCTGAAGATACGTACACTCAGTCTCCCTCATCTCAAAACCTTTCTGAAGAGCTGCTTAGCTTTCTGAACTGTCTTACTGAAATGTTTTGGGAAGTTACTACATTGCTCAAAAGAATGGTGGATACCTACTAACTCTATTCCTTTTTTTTCCCCCCCTTTATTGAGTTTTAGAGAGAGAGGAAGGGAGAGGGAGAAATAGAAACATCGATGAGATAGAACATCGATTGGCCGCCTCCTGCATGCTCCCCACTGGGGATTTGGCCCACAACCTGGGCATGTGCCCGGACCAGGAATCAAACCAGCCACCTCTTGGTGCATGGGTCAATGCTTAACCACTGAGCCATACCAGCCAGGCCCACTAACTCTATTCTGCAAGCTTCTCTCTCTCTTTTTTTACAAAACCTTTGAGGTATAATTCACATACCATACAGTTCACCCATTTAAAATGTACAAGTCAGTGTTTTCTAGCATATCCACAAAGTTGTACAACCATCATTTTCATCACTCCATAAAGAAACCCACCATTCTTTTTTGAGCTTATTGGACAAATAGTGCCTTATCCATTCAAATTATATAGATGCAAATGACTTCATAATCAATACTGCCCTCCAGTCCTAATCTCAACGTTTTCTCTTTCCCTGTCCCAGTTTTCTTAGTTACCATCTGCTTCTTTAAATTTAGCATGTTCTGAATGGATTCATCACTTTTTTCCCTATCTCCTCTCTCTTGCCGCCTCTTCCTCAATTCCTGTCACCTGACTGCTCCCCCTGCCCTCATGTCTCCTCAGCATGCTCAGACCCGTAGGTGCCGTCTCTGTCATCTGTCTGCCTTCTTCCCCTACTTCCTTACCTCTCTGACATTGGTTCAGAGCGTCAGTATCTCTCAACTAATACTGCATACAAATATAAGGCAAACTGGCCTCTTTCTATTCTCTAATTATTATTATTTTGCATAAATAGAAAACTATAAATAAATGTAAAACAGAAGCTTACATCTATAAGGACATTCCTGTCTTAAGGTGGCCCTAATGCTGCTGTCCTTCCAGCTGCCTGCCTTTCCCCCTGCAGCCCGTCCGCACACTGACCCCAGCTGAGCCTCCCGATGCACAGACCTAACCCTGTGCTCCCTAGGCATTCCTTGCCCGTTTTGTCAGAGCTGGCAGCTCGACCTCCACATAATGTCCTGAAGACTTATTTTCCAGCTTCGTCGCCTATTGCCTCCTCTGCATGGATCCCCACCTACTTTTCATCCTGCCTCCACTGTTTTTCTTCAGTCTGGTATTTTCTTGCCCTGGTCCCTTTGCTCACTGCTCCTTCTCCTTAGAAATTGCTTCCTCCTTCCCTTCTTCACCCCTACTGAAACCTTACTGCCCTTCAGGGTCCAATTCAAGGGATCATTTTTTCATAAAGCTTTTCTACTGAGGCCTTTACCTAAAGTAACCCTCTTTTCCCTGAAGTCCTGTGGTATTCTTTTATGTCACTTAATAGCTTTTTTGCCTTTATTATTTCTTTAAGTGTGTTTGCTTATATTTAAAGTAGTACGCACACACATTGATCCAAGGAGTACAAAAGAATCAGAGGTACATCTCCCGCCCACCCCTTCTCAGATGAAACTAGCACCATGTGTTCCATTAGAGAAGGATTCTGTCATGTGCATATTTTGTTAATTTCTGTGAATTCCACAGTACTTACCATATTGCACATCTGCTCATTCAACTGATATTTATTGACTTCCTGCTATGTGCCAGGCACTATATTCAATGTTAAGGATCCAGTGGGGAGCCAAGGCAGACATTGTGTTCACTGTGAAAGAGAGACAGTTAAATAAATAATTACTCTAAGAGTGTATAAACAAAAGCTGAGTTGAATGTTAGGAAGGAAAGGGGTACAGTTTTAAGTGAACTAGACTTAGGCTGAAGGGGCAGAGAAGGCTGCCCTGAGAAAATAACACTTGAGCTAAGAGCTGGATAAGGACATGTAGTTGATTAACCAAAGGGAGGGAGAAGGGAAAAGCACATACAGAGGGAATAGCATGTGCAGAGCCCCTGTGGCCGAAAGAAGCATGGCACATCAAGGCCAGAGAGCAATCCAGTGCTACTGGAGCATAGAGAGTGATGTAGGAGACGACTGGAATCTGAAGCTAGAGTGGTGAGCAGGGGAGGACCTTGCAGGGTCTTTTCTTATTTTATTTTATTGATTTTTTTAGAGAGAGAGGAAGGGAGAGAGAAACATTGATAGGCTGCCTCCCACACACCCCCTACTGGGGATTGAACCTGCAACCCAGGCTTGTGCCCTGACCAGGAATTGAACTGGGACCTCTAAGTCCATGGGATGACTCTCAATCTACTGAGCCACACCGGCCAGGCACCTTGAAGGTTCTTGTAAGCCATTTGAAGATTTCCTCATTAACCTAAGAACAGTGGAAAGCCACAGAGATATTTTAAGCAGGTTGGTGAGATAATCACTTTCACTTTTGAAAAGGTCCATTGGACTGCCTGTGGAGAGCTGATTGGAGGTTGAGACTATAGGCTGGTCCAGTCATTCCCAGAGAGACTCTGATGGCTTGACCACACTGCACTGCACTGGGAAAATAAAGGCTGTTAGATATACAAGAGCTGTCTTGACTCCCACAACCATGTCTACAAACCTGACATCTACACTTCACCTTGTGTCACAGTAGGAGTATCCTGCTCCTATCGAAAGCCAACTTTTCACTTGGTTTCTGGGATACATTCTCTCCTCTTCTCAGGAACTTAATCCCTTACTCATCTCTCATCTTCCACATCATTAACTTGTGCCTTTTTCCTGGATTACTCCCATTACAACTACTTTCTGGCCTGTCTCATACTGGAAAAACCTTCCCTTGACATGATCACCAACAATTAATTGCCTCATTTCTCTGTTCTTCTTTACAACCATCCTTGCCCAGCCTGTGTGGCTTAGTGTGTTGAGCATGTTGTCCCATGGACTGAGAGGTCCTGGTTCGATTCCCAGTCAGGGCACATGCCCGGGTTACGGGCTCGATCCCCAGTAGGGGGCGTGCAGGAGGCAGCCAATCAGTTTCTCTCTCATCGATGTTTCTATCTCTCTCTCTCCCTCTTCCTTCCTCTCTCTCTAAAATCAATAAAGAAAAAAATATATTAAAAAAAAAAGAGAGAGAGAACAACTGTCCTTAACGGTCTGTCTCTCCATGCTGTGCTCATTTCCTCACCATCTAGTCACTCTTCAACACACCTTGATCCAGTTTCTCCCCGTCACTTTTCTGAAATTGCTTTGTATCAGTATAAGTCACAAACATGTCCACATTGCCAAAGCCAGTGGTACTTCACTGCCCTCGTCTCCATCCATCTCCCAGTAGAATTTGACAAGGCCGCCCCCTTATCTTCCAAGTTCTTCTTTGTCTTTTGTGACAGCCCCTCTCCTGACTTTTCTCCTGTCTCCATGACTATTCCTTTTACTCCCCTTTTTCTTCTCTTTTCCAGGCTCTGAATGCTAGTCTTGGACCTTCTCCCTAGTTCCACAGCTTTTAACACCATTTGTATTCTCTAACCTGTCAGTTTATCTCCAACTCTGACCAATTTCCTAAGCTTTCTATATCTAGCAGCCTTCCTGACATCTATACCTACACATTTCATGGACATTCCAAACATACTGTGTCTAAAACAGGCCTCTTAGCATTCCCCTAGGGGCCTGATTCTTCCTCAATCCCTCATTTGTTTAAAAAACTTAGGTCCACTAAAGACCTCAGAAACCCTCATGGTTCTGCTCACGTGTTTGAGGAGACTTCACCTTTTCAACAAAGCAATCGGGGACTGTGAATTCTGAGGGGTCCCAGTCTGCCATGTGGGTGACTTTCTGTAGCTATGCTCTGACAGGCACAGAGAATGAGGCATGGGGCTGATGCAAGACTGGATTTTTCACCAGAAAAATTTGATGAAGAGACAGAAGGGCAAGGAGCTTCAGGAGGAGGGAAGTGAAGAAAGGGAAAGACTGATAATTTGAGAAGGCAGGACATCCGTGGATTAATCTGTCTTAGCCCGCGTAGGCTGCTATAACCCATGGGCTGGATGGCATGTAAACAGCATGAATTTATTTGTCACAGTTCTGGTTCTCAGTTAACTAGAGAAAATAAATTAGTAATCTAGGAAGATTTTTAAAGGAATATTTAGTGAATACAGAATGATTATAAAAGCATATTAACTCTCACGTGTACTTTGTTTTCCTGGATTTCGCTAAATATTTCATTCATATATCCAGTTACTTGGCTTTTTCTTTTTTTATTCTCACCTGAGGACATTTTTGAATTTATCCTCAAATAGAGCAGGAGGGAGAAAGGGAGGAAGAGAAAGAGAGAAACATTGACGTGAGAGAGAGACATATCGAGTGGCTGCCACCCATCAAGAGACACATTGAGGGGCCAGGGACAAACTGCAACCGCGGTATGTGCCCTTAGCAGGAACTGAACCCGGGACTCTGGTCCACAGGCTGATGCTCTAACCACTGGGCAAAACTGGCCAGGGGCTCTCTCCCCAGTTACTTGGCTTTTAAACGCTTGCTTCTTTTTGGCAAAATGTTGTTTCTTACTCATGCTAAAATTGGTGCCAAAATGAAGCAAATATATAGTCTTTATAGACTGCCTCTGAAATTTTATTTACATTTTAAAGTTTAAGCAATTCTGGCCTTGGAGGAGAAAACACTCAAAAACCATCAAATCATGGTTATACATAGGCCAACGGGAATGATGTGGAATTTAAAATGTAGTTAGGCCCTGGCTGGTTTGGCTCAGCGGTTGGAGCGTCAGCCTGCGGTCCGGAGAGACCTGGGTTCGGTTCCCGCTAAGGGCATGTGCCTCGGTTGCAGTTTGTCCCCGGCCCTGGTTGGTCGTGCGGATGGCGGCCACTCGATGTGTCTCTTTCACGTCGATGTTTCTCTCTCTCTCTCTTCCTCTCTCTCCCTCCCACTCTATCTGTGCAAGAAATGGAAAAATGTCCTTGGGTGAGGATTAAAAATAAATAAATAAAATAAAATAAAATGTAGTTAGGATTTTTTTTTTCGTTACAGGCGACTTAATGGAGAATTTAGTTCCGCATCCTGAATTCAAGATGCTGGGGGTTCGTAACATTCCTCAGATGTCTGAGCACTCACTGGCATACAGCACGTTTACTTGGGCTGGCCTCCTCAAGCACTTGAGACAGATGCTCATTTCTAATGCGAAAATGGAAGAAGGTAAACGGTATTTTAAAAATATGTAGCCCACAAGCTGGGAAGAAGGCCTGTGCTGGAGTTCTCAATACAAACTGGCTTGGGCGAGTTGAAATGATGGTTCCTTCTTTTGGCCAGGGAGGTGCCTGCAAAAACTCACCGGGACATCCCAGGATAGCTTCTTAATCACTTCACAGTGTCATTTCCCCAAAAAATGTCAGAAAAGTGGGACATTTATTTTTATTTACATTTTATTTTTATCAAAGTAATATATGAACAGAGTGTTTAAAAAACAAGTAGTCGGCCCGGCTGGTGTGGCTCAGTGGTTGAGTGTGGCCCAGTGGTTGAGTGTGGCCCATGCACCAAAAGGTCATCAGTTCGATTCAGAGTCAGGGCACAAGCCCAGGTTGTGTCCAAATTCACAGTAGGGGGCATGCAGGAGGCAGCTAATCGATGTTCTCTCTCATTGATGTTTCTCTCTCTCCCTCTCCCTCTCTCTCTAAAATCAATAAAGGAAATAAATAAAAATAAATTAAAAAAAAAAAACAAGTAGTCAAAACTCACTTAAATGTATACTTAAACCCATTTTAATTTCTATAGATTTGTATTATAAACAAACAATGGCTTTTATGTTTACATACATTGCATTGTATGCATATTATATCTCAATTTTCAAAATTTTTAAAAATTTATTTGAGAGACAGAGAGAGAGGAAAGGAAAGGGAGAGAGAGAAAGAGAGAAACATTGACAAGAAAGAGAAGTATCAATTGGCTGCCTCCTGCACACCCCCTACTAAGGATTGAGCATAAAATCCAGGCATGTGCCCTGACCGGAAATCAAACACGCAACCTTTCAGTGCACAGGATGATGTCCAACCAACTGAGCCACACCAGCGAGGGCAATGTGTGGTCTTGTTTTAATTCTAAGCCTAGTATTTGCTTTTTAAAAATGTTCCAGTCTGCACTGGTTGCTCTCCTGGCTTGATAAGCAAGCACTGGCATCTCTGCCCCATTCTGTATTCTGCATCCTGTCTCCTGGTTTCTTCCCTCATATTAATAGACCATACCCTCCAGGAGCTACCTAAGAAAGAGTGCAGGGAAGGTAAAAATTTTAAGGCTGCAAATATCATTATTCTGCCCTTGCATGACATTGATAGTTTGGCCAAGTACAAGATTTGAGGTTGGGAATTATTTCTACTCAGTATTTTGAAGGCATTGCTCTGTTATCTTCCAGCTTCCATTGTTACTGTTCAGAAGTCGATGTGATTCCTAACCCTGTTTTGTTCTCTCCTTAATCTTTCAGGATTTCCTCTGTCTTTAGCATTCTGGAATTCCTTAGTGTGGACCTTTATCTCAGTAGAATATAAGGGGTTTTTTAAATCTATTTTGGCCCTGGCCAGTTTTGCTTAGTGGTTAGAGCGTCAGCCCGTGGACCAGAGAGACCTGGGTTCAGTTCTCGCTAAGGGCATGTACCTGGGTTGTGGTTGGGGTCTTGTGGGTGGCAACCAGTCGATGTGTCTCTCTCACATCAATGTTTCTCTCTCTCTCTCTTTCTCCCTCTCTCCCTCCCGCTCTGTCTGAAGATGAATGCAAAAATGTCCTCGGGTGAGGATAAAAAAAAATTTTTTTTTAATCTATTTTGGTTACTGCTATATTTTAGCCAAAGGCCTATTAGTCTTTCCTGAGAACAAACCTTCCAGGATGGAGTGGTGTACTCCTCCTGCCGCAGGGAGTGGGAAGGGTCTGGAGCTCTCATTGCTTCTCATGTAGATTTTTTTTTTTTTTATCCTCACCCGAGGATATTTTTCCATTTTTTGTACAGATAGAGTGGGAGGGAGAGAGAGGAAGGGAGAGAGAGAGAGAAACATCGATGTGAAGGGACACATCGAGTGGCTGCCACCCGCACGACCAACCAGGGCCGGGGACAAACTGCAACCGAGGTACGTGCCCTTAGCGGGAACCGAACCCGGGTCTCTCCGGACCGCAGGCCAACGCTCTAACCGCTGAGCCAAACTGGCCAGGGCTCATGTAGATTTTTAACTAATCCTCCTGTTTTTTCCTCTTTTATTTATTTACTTACTTATTTTATTTAATATGTTTTTATTGATTTTTTTAGAGTGAGAGGAAGGGAGAGAGAGATAGAAACATCGATGTGAGAGAGAAACACAGATCAGCTGCCTCTTGCATGCCCCCTTCTGGAAATCGAGCCCACAACCTGGGCATGTGCCCTGACTATGAATCGAACCAGGACCTCTCAGTCCGTGGGATGACACTTAATCCATTGAGCCACACTGGCCAGGTTTTTCTTCCTCGTTTAGAAGTGTCTGGCCTGCTTCCAGGACCCCCACTGTGGGCAGAAGTTTCAGCCTTCCCTGGTTGTTAAATTAATAACCACTGGTTCATTTGCTTTCCAGTTTCCAGAATGGTGTTGCTATTATCTCCTCTGCTGTTCCCTTTTTACTTGCTTATGCCTTTTTAGAAATCCCCGCATTGTCTTGTTAGTGAGATTTGGGGAAAGAGTGGCAGTAAACTGGTATGTTCAGTCTGTCATGTTTAATTGGAAATCAATCCTTACTAAGTATTATTTTTGTAGTATGTATTTTACCACAAATCACAATAACTTGGGTTTCAATACTATGAAAGTGGGTTTCTTCTACATTTAATTGTAATACCTTACGGATTTTAGATTGTAGTGCCTGAGGTTTGGAGATAAGTGGATAGTTTACATTTAAAGTAATGCTTCCCGAATTTTTTGGCCACAGTGCATACCTGTTTTTCTAGAAAAACCTGTTAACATCTCAAGGAACACAGTATTCTTAAGGATAGTGTACAGTGCGCTGCACTGAGCTCTTAGGTCAGTAAATCACAGTTGGCTTAGTCATCTTCCTGTGAGGGACTTTACGGTGTTAACTTTTTTTTCCAGTTATAGATAGAGCTTTCTTTTAAAATTGAATTTATTGGGGTGACATTGGTTAATAAAATGATACAACTTTCAGGTATATAATTCTATAATAGAGCTTTGAACATATAGATGTTTACGTATATAAATATATTAATAAATAAAAATACATATATCACTAACAAGGTTGAAGAATACAGTTTTAAAACTCTTCATATGGCCCTGGCCAATTTTGCTCAGCGGTTAGAGCGTCAGCCTGCGGTCCAGAGAGACCCAGGTTCAGTTCCCGCTAAGGGCATGTACCTCGGTTGCAGTTTATCCCCGGCCCTGGTCGGGTCGTGCGGGTGGCAACCACTCAATGTGTCCCTTTCACATCGATGTTTCTCTCTCTCTCTCTCTCCCTCCCACTCTATCTGAACAAAATATCGAAAAATGCCCTCGGGTGAGGATTAAAAAAAAAAAAACTCTTCATATGTTATCAGACTACTCTGTATAAAGATTGACCCCATTAATATTGCCATCAGCAATATATCTGTTTCCACCTGTCCTGGCAACAGGAGCAATGGGTGATCCGAGAGGGAGCGAGGCAGAAGTTACGATGTCTTTTATGACCTAGCTTTGGAAGTCACACGCCATCGTTTCTGCACCATCCTTTTGGTCATTAAGGTCAGCCCTATCCCATGTGGAAGGGGACCACACAAGGGTCTGAATTCCAGGAGGCAAGGATCCCTGGGGTTCATCTTGGAGACTGGCTACCACCCTCTGCCCTCTGTCCCCTAATGAGTCACATCCTCCCGTATGCAGAATATACTGAACCTCTTCCACGGCCCTCAAAAGCTATATCCTGTTAGCACATCATCCTAAAAAGTTCAGAATCTTGTCATCTAAAAGCAGGTCTGGGTGTGGATTTATACTCCTCAGGTGAGATTTCTTGAGTATAGTTCTTTGAACATAGTTCCTCCCCCCGACCCCAACAGACCGTGTTAGAACAGGCACAGGATAACTGGTAGATACTCCCTTTCAAATATGGGTAAGTGGAAAGCACACAGGAGTCATTGGTCTATAACAGGATTTTCAACCGGTGTGCCATGGCACAATGCTATGCCGCAAGAATGTTTAAAACATGCAATACCTGCCCTGGTGTGACTCGGTTGGTTGGAGCGTCATCCTGTGCACCAAAAGTTTGCCAACTTGATTCGTGGTCGGTCAGGGAACATGCCCAGGTTGCAGTTTCCATCTCTGGTCAGGGTGCATGCGGGAGGCAACTGATTGATGTTTCTCTCTCTTTCCCCCTCTTCCCTCCTCTCTGTTTAAAAACAAACAAAAAATGACAAACAAAGGAAAATACCACGTGCAGTATCTGACTATTTAGTCAGAGGCATTGACCTCTTTTCCCTTAGATTGTAAAATTAAAAAATGACAGCGGCCAACACAATGATAGCTGTAAGTGAATCAAAATAATACCTATTTTGTGTCAGAATGGCAAAAATATAATATATTTTTAGGTGTGCCATAGAATTTTAGTAATTAGTTTATATGTGCCATGAGATGCAAAAGGTTGAAAATCACTGGTCCATAATAATTTATCAGGGCAAATGTTGGCAGTTTCTTGGTTACTATGTAAAGCCTGGGAATAATTTTCCATGGCTTTTGGCTTGGCCCTCTGAACCAAGCTAAATTATAATTTTACTTGTTTATTTATTTTTAAGTTTTATTTAAATCATTTTATTTTTAAATTTTATTGTATTAGGTGATTTATCTTTGCTAGTTTGGATTAATTTGTGCATGTGAGAACTAGAGAGAGCTCTGAGGGTATCTATAAACAGACTTTTAAAAAAATAAAACACATCACATTATATGTATTCATATATATTCAGCACAGTTACATAGTTTTCTACTATTTGTACCCTAATTTGTTATATGCACATAGATTAAAAAGTCAAGTAATTCTAGCCCTGGCCGGTTTGGCTCAGCGGTTGGAGCATTGGCCTGCAGACCAGAGTCCAGGTTCGGTGCCCACTAGGGGCACATACAAAAAAAAAAAAGTCAAGTCATTCTACAAAGCTGGTTGTTAAAACTATCAGTCCATAATCTTCCTCTATTTTCTCCCTCCCAGAGGCTACCATTTTTTCAAAATTCTTTTACTGGTTCTTCTACTGTTTTTATCTATTCATTGCCATTTATTGCTTTTCATTTAGGTATTACCTATTTACTTCCCACTGTGGCGGTTAGGATTTAGCTTTTTTTTGTTTGTTTTTAATCCTCACTCAAGGATAATTTTTCATTGAATTTTTTAGCTAGAATGGACAGGAGGGAGGGAGAGAGAGAAACATTGATGTGAGAGAGACACATCAAACACATCAGTTGGCTGCCTCCTGCATGACCTGGACCAGGGCTGGGGATTGAACCTGTGACCCTTCAGTCCTCGGGGAACACTCTAACTGATGAGCCAAACCTGCCGGGGCAGGATTTAGCCCCACATGCCCCGTCCCTGCCACACTGGCCCTTAAGCCCTACAGACACTCTCCCATCTTGTCCATCCATCCAGTATTGTAGTGTTATCACTAGATTAAAGCCATCTTAAGCTCTACAGGATCAAGACCAAGTCAGGTAGTCACAGCTGAGCCACATCGTATCCTGTGATTACCTGACCTTTCCTGTATAAGTTTTTAAACATTCTCTGGAGTTCATAATCGCCTTGTTTTCTTGTTTTGTTTTATACTCACCCGAGGACATTTTTGCATTTATCTTCAGATAGAGAGGGAGGAAGAGAGAGAAACATTGATGTAAGAGAGACACATCGAGTGGTCGCCACCTACACGACCCCAGCTGGGGCCGGGCACAATCTGCAACCGAGGTACGTGCCCTTAGTGGGAACCAAACCCTGGGCGCTCTGGTCTGCGGGCCAACGCTCTAACCGCTGAGCCAAATGGGCCAGGGCTTATTTTCTTGTTTGCTTAGTTTTTCCTTATTATTATTATTTTTAATATGGAACACTTCACAGATTTGCATGTCATCCTTGCACAGGGGCCTTGCCAATCTCTGTTCCGTTCCAATTTTAGTGTATGTGCTGCCGAAGCCAGCACCTTCGCTTAGTTTTTCTAGGTGCCATCAGTTACTCAGCTCAAAGTGTTTTTCCACTTGTTTAAATTTCTTCTTGATATACTCAAGTATTCTATCAGGTTCATCTTCTTTAAATCTCTCCTAGAGCCTTCTGACCTGCTCTTGTGGTGGGATGTGGAGAGTGGGGGCGGGGGGGAGAGAATGCGCCATGAACATTTGTGTGCAAGTCTTTGTGGGGACATATATTTTCAGTCTTTTGGGTATGTGCCTAGGAGTGGCACTGCTGAGTCAAAGGATAAGTCTGTCCTTAAAAACTGCGAAACTCTTTTCCAAAGTGGCTGTATCGTTTTACACCCTGACAAGCAGTTTAAGAGGATTTCACTTTTCCACATCCTTTCCAACATCTATCTTTTGGGTTATAGGGATTCTAACAGGTGTGAACTAGTGTCTCCTTGTGGTTCAATTTGCATTTTCCTAATGACAATGATATTGAATATCTTTTCATGGGCTTATTAGCCATTTGTTAATTTTCTTTGGTGCAATTTCTATTCAGTCATCTTTCCAATTTTTAAATTGGTTTGTTTGCCTTATTGAGTTCAGCATGCCAACATTTTTGATTTGTTGTATTTCTACTTTTGCTGAAAATCAATCTGTTACTATGCACTGAATCCCTATCTTTGATATAATTTAAGAGTATTTTCTCAATATTTCCACATGGCTAGTCAATTTGCAGTCCTATTTTGGTTTTGAGTTTCTACATCCCTTAATAATTTGTTTTTTAGCCCTGGCCGGTTTGGCTCAGCGGTTAGAGCGTCCATCTGCGGTCCGGAGAGACCCGGGTTCGGTTCCCGCTAAGGGCAAGTACCTCGGTTGCAGTTTGTCCCCGGCGGGTGGCAGCCACTCGATGTGTCCCTTTTACATCGATGTTTCCCTCTCTCTCTCTTCCTCTCTCCCTCCCACTCTATCTGTACAAAAATGGAAAAATGTCTTTGGGTGAGGATAAAAAAAATAAATAAATAATAAAAATAATAATAATTTGTTTTTTATTTTTTATTTAAAAAATTTTGTTTTCTTTATTGATTTGAGAGAGAAGGGAAGGAAGAGGGAGAGAGTGCTAGAAACATTGAGGAGAGAGAACATCGATTGGCCACTTCCTGCATGCCCCCCACTGGGGATTTGGCCCACAACCTGGGCATGTGCCCTGACCAGGAATTGAACTGGCGACCTCTTGGTGCATGGGTGGATGCTCAACCACTGAGCCACACAGGCTGGGCAATAGTTTGTATGTATTTTATTTGTTCATAACCATATGTAGAGTGAAGTTTGCCCTTTTTAAGTGTATAGTTCTATAAATTCCGACAAATTTATACAGTGTGTAACCACTACCACAGTTGAGATAGAGTATTATCATCATCCCCCAAAAGTTCCCTCATATCCCTTTTTGTAGATAGTCTCTTTTCCCTCTACCCCTAGCCCCCAACAATTACTGATCTAAATTTTGTTCTTATGGTTTTGCCTTTTCCAGAATGTCCTATAAATGGAATTTTACAGTATGTAATCTTTTGCAGTCCTATTTGACTACATATCGATTTGAGATGTATCCATGTTGTTATGTGTACTGTATCGGGAGTTAGTTTCTTTTTTGTTTTAATCCTTACCCAAAGATATTTTTCCATTGCCTTTTATTTTATCCTCACCCGAGGACATTTTTGCATTTATCTTCAGATAGAGTGGGAAGGAGAGAGGAAGAGAGAGAGAGAGAGAAACATCGATGCGGTTGCCACGCACACAACCCCAACCAGGGCCGGGGACAAACTGCAACTAAGGTATGTGCCCTTAGCGGGAACCAAACCGGGGCCTCTCTGGTCCACAGGCCAATGCTCTAACTGCTGAGCCAAACTGGCCAGGGCTCCATTGCTTTTTAGATAGAGTGGAAGGGAGAGAGGAGGAGAGAGAGAGAAACATCAATGTGAAAGAGACACATCGATTGGTTGCCTCCCACATGACCCCCACTGGGGCTGGGGATCAAACCTGCAACCCAGGTACATGCTCTCAACTGGGAATTGAACCTGCAACCCTCTGGTCCACAGGCCAATGCTCAAACCACTGAGCCAAACCAGCCAGAGCAGGAGTTCGTTTCTTCATTGCTGAATAGATTCCATCATATGCACCCACCACTATCCTTTAGTAGTTAGTGAAGAATATTTCATGCTTTTCTTAGGACTGAGTAGTTTGGGTCACTTTAGGTCAACCAGATAAGAATTTTTAAACATGTGGCAGGAAAAAAAATTCTCACATTTAGTTATTAAATTAAAAATCATGTAAACTACACATTCCATAATACATTTTTCTCTTCTTGTTCAAAGCCATTTGTAAAATCTCATTCTTTTTTCCTTTGGGTAGGTATCGATTGGCAGGTACGGCCTCCTTTACCAGGACTTCCTACTCGTGGTAAAATGTCTCTCAACAAGGAGCTTCACTTTAACACTTCCATCGCTAATACGGTCGTCCTGCGTGGGAAAGATGTGCACAGTGCAGATCTGGGTAAGCAGAAGTTAAGGTGAAAATTAAGAGTATTTTCTACACATGCGCATGGTACACATAGCTTTTTTTTTTTTTTTTTAAGTCCTGTTCTAGCCAGTGTGGCTCAGTTGGTTGAGCATCATCCCATACATACATCAAGAGTTTGTAGGTTCAATTCCCAGGCAGGGCACATGCCCAGGTTGTGGGCTCAATCCCCAGTAGGGGGCGTGCAGGAGACAGCCAATCCGTGTTTCTCTTTCATTGATGTTTCTCTCTCCCTCTCCCTTTCTCTCTCTCTAAAATCAATACAAACATTAAAAAATAATAATAATAAAATAAAAATTCCCTGAATTTATTCTTTTAGAGGAAGGAAAATAATAACTATGGGTATTTATAGCAAAATGTAACCATTGTATCAGTTACTATGTGTTTGAACACCAAAATAGAAGTGGTTTAAATAAGATGCAGGTTTAATTCTTTCTTCCTGAATCTGGTTGTGCCTGTTGTCTTTACCTTGTGGCTTCCTCCTTTAGTCCAAGATATCTGTTAGAGCTTCAGCCATCACATCATGGAACGAGCAACGAAGGGCACACCTCCTTCTCCTAGGATTGCACACCACACTGGCGTTACATCCCTTTGACTGGGACTGAATCGCATGCCGCACCTAGCTGCAAGGGTCACCACGATCACAGTTAAAATCCGGGGGTTCTCTTACTAAAGAAGGGAGAACAGGTATTGTGGGACAGCTAGTGGACTCTGTGCCAAGAATTTTGCTACAGATTTTTCAGGAAGTTGAAAGAGCAGTTCTCTTATTAGTTTTGTGTTTCTATGGCAAGTCTCTAGGTTTATATTATCCTTATTTGATGGTTTCAGCAGTGTCAAATTGGTTGCTTCTGGCTGTGATATAAAGAACACTGAACAATCTTGGCACATGTGGCTCAGTTGGTTGAGCTTTGTCCCATCACCAAAAAGTCTCTGGTTTGATTCCCAGTCAGGGCACATGCCTGGGATGTGGGCTCGATCCCCAGTAGGGGAGTGCCGGAGGCAGCCGATTGATGTTAATGCTTCTCTCTCTCATTGATGTTTCCATCTCTCTCCCTCCCCCTTCCTCTCTCTCTCAAAAAATCAACGAAAACATACTAAAAACAAAAAAAAGAAACACCAATCTAGTTCTTGTAATACCCCTTAGATAAAAAACTAGTAGCAATGACAAAAAGAACATTTCAAGTCAATCATAGGGTATGCTTTCTTCACAGTCTTATTTTAGATTTTAAAATAAGAGAATTAATAAGAGGATATATAAAGTCAGTGCATGCCCATCTGGTGTGGCTCAGTGATTGAGCATCAACCCATGCACCAAGAAGTTGCTGGTTCAATTCCTGGTCAGGGCACATGCCCAGGTTGTGGGCTGAATCCCCAGTGGGGGGCATGCAGGAGGCAGCCGATAGATGTTAATGCTTCTCTCTCTCATCCATGTTTCTCTCTCTGTCTCTCTTTCCCTTCTTCTCTCTCTAAAATCAATAAGGAAAAAAAAATTAAACAAAAATAAATAAATAAAAGTAAAGTCAGTGTTAGCATGTATGCAGTGAAACCCTTAACTGTTGCCCCCCCAGCTAGATTCTTACTTACTTACATGAAAAGATGTTTAGAATTTTATGCCCCACCAGAATTCTTCTCTTCAGTGCGAAGATCCTTATTTATCTCGTGTGTGTGTTTCACCCTGGCAGGTTCTTGCTCTAGCGGTCGTCTTAGCATTTGTCTCCGAGCATTCCTTTTTGGCCACACACTTAGGATTTAGCTATTTTTTATGCTGACAGTATAAGGTTCCATTCAGCTGATCTCTTTTACCTTTTGACTTAATAAATGTGTTGTAATGCCACAATGGTTTTCTTATGTATCTTCATAAATGTAAAGTTTAAACTAACCAAAGAAAAGGATATATGAGGTAATCTAACTTCTAAAAAGTTATGCACAACAAATGACACAGGTGCATAGAGGTATTCTTGAAAAGATAATCATTGCAGTATTTTTCAGACTAACAAAACTGTAGAAACAATCTACATGTTCAAACAGTAGGAAATGTGTTAACTTACGGTATATTCATTTAAATATGAGTGGTATTTATTGAAATGGCAAAGTGGGTCACAACATATTGGTGAATGAAAAATGCAGATTATAGCCCCAGCCAGGTGGCTTAGTTGGTTGGAGCATCATCCCATACACTAAAAGGTGGCAGGTTTGATTCCCGGTCAAGGCACATACCTAGGTTGCAGGTTCGATCCCCATTTGGGGCATGTACGGAAGGCAACCTACCGATGTCCTCTCATGTCGATGTTTCTCTCTCTCTCCCTTCTCCTGTCTCTAAAATCAAGAAGTATAGCATTGGGTGAGGATTTTTCTTTTTTTAATGCAGACAATAGAAGAGCATATGTATAAAATTACATACACAGGGTCAGCAAAATGCCCATAGTCATCTCTGGGTGGTGGCATTTCAGCTGTTCAGTTTACGTAAACATTTTCTTCATACTTTTCTGAATGGTGTGAATTATTTATTTTTTTTATGATGAGTATAAATCATTGATCCAAAAGCAATATAAAGCTAGTTTTATTTTTTTAATTTTTAAAAATTTATTTATTTTATTTTATTATTATTATTTTTTCCTCACCCGAGGACTTTTTTTTTTTTTTCCATTTTTTGTTCAGGTAGAGTGGGAGGGAGAGAGAGGAACAGAGAGAGAGAGAGAAACATCGATGTGAAAGGGACACATCGAGTGGCTGCCACCTGCACAACCGACCAGGGCCGGGGACAAACTGCAACCGAGGTACGTGCCCTTAGCGGGAACCGAACCCGGGTCTCTCTGGACCGCAGGCCGACGCTCTAACCACTGAGCCAAACCGGCCAGGGCTAAAAATTTATTTTTTAATATAAATCTCGTTTTTAAAGGCAAAACAAACCAAGATTTTGAGTGAAATGAATAAGAAAATACTCCTCTATTAATTAGTTTTCAAAAGTAACGATCTACCATGTGCACAGTGCTTATGTTGTGTTTCTCTAGGGGGATTTAAAGATCCGGCTCTCTACACTTCCTGGTTGGAGCCTGGTGAGGCCCTCAGTGTGTGGAGAACCCAGCGAGCCTTTAGCAAGTACGAGAAGTCTGCAGCGTTGGTCAGCAACAGCCAGTTCTTAGTACAACCACTTGATATGATTGTGGGAAAAGCATGGAATATGTTTGCTTCAAAGTAAGTAAAAGATACATTTACAAACCTTCCTAACCTAGGCAGAAAATAAAATGTTAAGACACAAGGCAGGATCTAGAGCGTCTTAGTGTCTTTGAGCTGCTTTAACAAAAAATAGCATAGACTGGGTAGCCTATAAAGAACCAGGATTTATTTCTCACAGTTCTGGAGGCTGGGAAGTCCGAGATTAAGGTGCTGGCAAATGGGATTTCTGGTTCACAGGTGGTGTCCTTTCTCTGTATCCTCAACTGACAGAACCGCAAAGGCACTTATCCCTTTCATGAGGGCTCCATCCTCATGACCTAATCAGCTCCCGAAGGCCTCACTTCCTAATACCATCTCCTTGGGGGAACACAAACATTCAATCCAAAGTGTGGAGTGAGCATGGCTACCACTTTGTAGGTGTGAAACTTGAGGCATGTTACTTCAGGCTTCTTTTCCTTATCTGTACAATGGGTCCAAACTGAGAGGATCTGGGGTAAGGATTAAATGAGATAATCATGTAAAACACCTAGTAGTGCCTGACTAGTAGTAAATGCTCAATAATTGTTTTATACTATTATTGTTGTTGTTGACTAAATTCGTTTCTAAATGCAATGAAAGTAGAAATTTTACAATAAGACAGGGACAATAAGATAGTTTTCTAAAATAAGATCCTCGAGCCCGGTTGGTGTGGCTCAGTGGACTGAGTGTCGTCCCATGGACTGAGAGGTCCCAGTTTGATTCCTGGTTGGGGCACATGCCTGAGTTGCGGGCTCAATCCCCAGTCAGGGCTGTGCAGGAGGCAGCCCATCGATGTTGCTATCTTTCTTTCCCTTCCTCTCTCTCTAAAAATATCAATTTTAAAAAATATTAAAATAAGATTCTTGCTCGGCTGATGTGACTCAGTGGTTGAGCGTCGACCCATGCACCAAAAGGTTGCTGATTTGATTCCCAGTCAGGGCACATGCCCAGGTATTGGGCCCAATCCCCAGTGGGGGACATGCAGGAGGTGGCCAATTGATGTTTCTGTCTCTCTCTCCCTCTCCCTTCCTCTCTTGAAAAAAAAAAATTAAATAAGATATTTGAAAGAATGGAAGAGGTCCTCGTCTTGCTCAGTAAGAACTATTGCAAGTTCAACTCCACTTGATACTAAGAAGTGTCTACTGTGTACTAAGAAATGTACTATCAGGTTTCCTGACTTCTGCCACAATGACTGAATGTTAAAGCAAAATTCCTCAAATGACTGGACAAGGCCTCTACTTTGATTAGCTAGGATTTCCAAGTGCCCCCATCCCCTTTCCTGCACATGGTCATGGTCATTCCATAGACCCTCACTCCTCAGGACTGCGAACTCTGTCCTCTTCCGGCATCCTTCTCTTCCACTCAGTAAACAGTAGCAGCCAGTACTTTGTAGCATGATTTCTCCTGCCTCAACATTCTGGGGAACGGGCATTAAGGGGACCCGGCATAACTGTAAACTAAGAGTTGTCTGAAAAATACTTGGGAGGCTTCACTTCATTCCTACAACTGGGTTGTCTTTCTACCATTTCAAGCCTTTGATAAAACTTCTCCGGCACTTTTTAGAATTTATAGTGAACCCCGTCGTCTCCTGTAGGTTGTTCAATATGTGCAGGGTAGACAACCAATTCTGAACCTACTTCTTTTTCCCGTGTGCTCTTATTGTTGCTCTCTTGGACACCAAAAAGGCCGGGAACCTGCATAAACTTTGAAAGTTTGCTAATCTTCGGAGCCAACATTGAAGCAAATGTAAGGCGTTTAAGAGATTCTGCCATCTTTAAATGTTCACAAGCTAGGAAAGGTCTATTTATTGCTTGATTTTAAGACTTTTTTAATCTGGGATTTTTTATTTTACATCTTCTGTTTCTTTTTACCAGAGCCTACATTCATCAGTACACAAAATTTGGAATTGAAGAAGAGGACTTTTTGGACAGTTTCACATTGTTAGAACAGGTTGTTGCCAGTTACCGAAACCTCTGATCTTGAACAAGTACCTTGTGTCATTTTGAACTAAAATATTTCCAACACTATTTTCACTGTACATTTTCAAATTCTGATCTTTTAAACCAGTTATATCAGCCCGGCCGGTGTAGCTCAGTGGTTGAGCATTGACCCATGTACCAAGAGGTTGCCAGTTTAATTCCTAGTCAGGGCACATGCCCAGGTTGTGGGCCAAATCTCCAGTGGGGGGCATGCAGGAGGCAACTAATCGATGTCCTCTCTCATCAATGTTTCTATATATCTCTTCCTCTATCTACCTCTCTCTCTAAAAAAATCAATAAAGAAAAAAAAATAAAAAAATAAAAAGCAGCCATGTCAGATGCTGATTTCTTCTTCATACAATGCCCACAGAACAGGAGGGAAACCTTTTAAATGGGCAATAGTATGTTTTCAATGAAAACATCTACTTGATATTTTCATTTGTAAGGCAAAAAAATTGGTGTTTCTATAAAGAACTTTGGAAACATTTTGCTGAGATGTTAGAGCTCTGGAACTATCCAAAAAAGGGAATATTCTGTTTTATCCCTTTATGCCTAACTCTTCCCTCTTTATTTCAAAAAGGATTTATTAAATATGAGCTAAACTTTCACAGCACAATTTTAAGAAATTGCAATTCTGTATTTGAAAGTATTTATCTTTGAAGTGAATGCTCTGAACCACAAGAGGGAGCTGTTGTTAAATGTTGCAGGGTGAACACGTATCGAGTATTTTCTGTAACAGGTAAGATTTTCCACTTTAAGAAGCTATTTAAAAATAAATGTCAGAATTTTGTTAATAAATATACATCATACTTAAATACAGAAGTATATGAGTAAATATACTTTATTGCTTTTCTTAAATGTTTCGGGCATCAGATACTTGAGTTGGTTTTTCTTTTAGAACTTGGAATGTCAGAAACTGATTTTATTCGACTAGTACTTTAAAATTACTTACAGGTGCCCAGCTGGTGTGGCTCAGTGGCTGAGCATCGACCCATGCTCCAAGAGGTTGCTGGTTCGATTCCCAGTCAGGGCACATGCCTGGGTCGCAGGCTTGATCTGCAGTAGGGGGCGTGCCAGAGGCAGCCGATTGATGTTAATGCTTCTCTCTCTCATCAGTATTTCTACCTCTCACTCCTCCCTTCCTCTCTCTCTAATAAAATCAAAATAAATAAAATTACAGGTATTTAGAAGATGGTTATATGCTTTTCAGTAAAAGGGGTAAGAGCTTTCACCAAAATTTCACTAAGATAAAAAGTTATCACCAAGGGGTGGTAAACACCGCCCAACATACGTGGATAATGTGTTGTGGAATTGTATACCTGAAACCTGTGCAATTTTATTAACCAGTGCCACCCCAATAAATTCGATTGAAAAAGAAAAAAAAGTTATCACCAAGGAAACACTGTGCTTGAAGCAGTTGTCACATCCAGATGTGGGTTTCACTCAGAAGGACAAAACAATTGAAAATTGGCAACTGAGTTTGCGGGCAGTGGTGTATTTCAATAAAACACAACACATGATGCCCTGGCCGGTCTGGCTCAGAGGTTAGAGCGTTGGCCTGTGGACCAGAGAGGCCCGGGTTCAGTTCCCGCTGAGGGCACGTACCTGGGTTGCAGTTTGTCCCCAGCCCCTGTTGGGGTCGTGTGGGTGGCGGCCACTTGATGTGTCTGTCTCACATTGATGTTTCCCTTTCTCCCTCTCTCCCTCCCCTTCTATCTGAAGACAAATGCAAAAATGTCCTTGTGTGAGGATAAAAAAAATAATAATAATAAAATAAAACACATCACATGCAATGCATTAACAAATGCAAAATGGGAAACAAATAGGAACATTTGCCCTTTCTGCTAACTCTACCAGTGATGGTTTCTTTTTATTTGGAAAAATGACAGTTCACAGCTTCCCTGGTTCTTCCTCTTCTTTCCATATGGAAATGATTACCTTCTTGCTGTTATTCTTATCAACTGTTGCTATGATGTAAAATACTGAGCGTATCTTATTTCTAAGGAATGTAGAAGCTGGTCTGCCTGCTCAGCTAAAAGCCCCACCCCCACCGCTGCATTTTGTTAACCCGAGGACACCTGAAAAATAATCAGATCATACTTTTTACAAAATAAAATTCAAAGTAGTCGTTTGGCATTGAAGAGATCCAAAGACTAAAACAATTTCCCAAACTAAACTAGCATTAATAAAGATCCGTAACTCACTGATCTCACCAGGGGTTAAGCTGACCTTGCCGAAAGTTTAGCTTAAAGAAAGTCCTAAGTTGAAACCATTTTATGTTTAAGAAAAGTTACCGTGAGTTACCACGGGGACAAGTATATTTCCAATTTGGTAGCTCATGGAAGCAGTGGCAAGTGAATGTTAAAAGTAAACCCCAATGGCCCTGGCCAGTTTGGCTCAGCGGTTAGAGTGTCGGCCCGTGGACCCGAGAGACCCGGGTTCGGTTCCCGCTAAGGGCACGTACCTCGGTTGCAGTTTGTCCCCGGCCCTGGTTGGTCGTGCGGGTGAAAGCCACTCCATGTGTCCTTTTCATGTTGATGTTTATCTCTCTCTCCCTCCTGCTCTATCTGAACAAAAAATGAAAAAATGCCCTCGAATGAGGATTAAAAAAAAAATTTTTTTTTTTTAAATAAAAATCAATAAAGGAAAAAAAAGTGTGTGGTCTTCATCTGTTTTTGTTTTGTTTTTTTTTAAATGTCCTCGGGTGAGGATAAAAAAAAAAAGTCAACCCCAAAAAAAGTCAAGCAGAGCTCCACAACTGCACTATTTGATATGTGTGGACACCAAAATATTTGCAAACTTGTTTTAAACATTTACCTGGAAAATTTTTTTTCTTGTCTGTTTGGAATAAGATAAAATCTTCACTATTAGAGTTGGGATTTTAACTTAAAAATTAACACAACCCTGGCTGGTTTGGCTCAGTGGTTAGAGTGTCAGCCTGTGGACCAAAGAGTCTTGGGTTTGATTCTCAGTCAAGGGCACGTATCTCAGTTGCAGGTTTGATCCCTGCCCCCTTGGGGAACAGCCAATCAATGTGTCTCTCTCACATTTATGTTTCTTCTCTCTCTCCCTCCCTCCTTCCCTCTCTATCTAAAAAAAAAAAAGAAAGAAAAAAAAAAATCAATGAAAAAATATCCTCGGGTGAAGATTAAAAGGAAAAAATTGACACCAAGAAGCTGACCCCAAACCTCAAGATAAGGGGTGACATTGCAAATACAGTTTGATTTGTGCACAAAATGACCAATCAGCCAGGACAACATTAGACTCAAACTTCCTGGGCAGACAGATCCAGAAGCTTTGAACATGATGGGCCCCTGGGGCACTGTTTTCACTCAGACATCATCCCAGTCAGCATGCAGCCCTGTAGACAGTGAGGACTGTGTAATTCAAACTACTGCTTGTTTTCAACCCTTTTCACTGTCCCCCGTGAGTGCTTTTCTTGAGAGCTCTTCAAATAGTAAAACCCGGTTTTTTCCCCATTTCCTCTTGCTGCTGGGGATCATTGGGTGCTCCCCACCTAATACTATGCAGTCAATCTGCAACATCTTTCTCCTTTATTTAACCCATCACTTAGAACTCAGTCCGTGTGCCCACCATTCACTGTTCTCAGACATTCATTCAACCAGTATCTGTGCAGTGTCAGGCATTGAACAAGATGGGAGGGATTCAGAGATCAGTTCTACATAGTCCAAATGAAGAAGCTTACAATGTACCTTTCTCTGGTGTTACAATTCTAGCTTCCTTATTGTTGCTTATTATCTGGCCCATGTCCATCTTCAACTTTTTTACAGGAGCGATGTGGTACACAGGAAAGAAGGCCCCGGGGGCTTGGGCTTTCGCGTTGTCTGAAATGTCTCCTCACTGGCTCTGCGGAATCGCCTCCTCAGGGTGCATACCAGTGATTCTTCTGCTGACCACCATGTTTATCACACTTGAATTCCTGCCCCAAAATTTAAAAAACATGCTCCATATGTTCCGATTCCATTATTCTCTCCCCGTGAGCCCAAGGTGCTCAGCCAGCCCGTTCTTGTTCTCACACCTACCTACCAATATGGTGTTACCACTACCTTGCCGCTTTGGGCAACTAACCAGTTATTTAAGAGATACTTGCTTCTCTGTATCAATCACACTATTTCCTGTGAGTTTTAGGAATGTGAACTAAAGAAATCTGGCTTTGCATTTTTAACTAAGTAATTTCCTACTCCTGTACTCGGAAATGTCTCAGAGGATGCGCTGTCAGCCTTATGAATAAACAGAATTCCATGTCCTCTAGCCGGAATGCTGCCACCTGAAGTTAAGATAAACAATAGAAATATTTCAAGTTTCTGGGGAACACCGTGTGGGGTCAGTGTTGGAGAAGGTATGACATTTAGGGGCAAGGGGGGAAAAGAGACAACTATCATTGAGACGCTAGGGAGCCAGTGCAGCAGGAAGGGATGAGAAAGAGGGCCCAGGAAGCCGGTGATGCCCCAAAGAACTGCTAATAACTTAGAAACATTTCCCAAAAAGACTTGATGGTTTTTAAATTATGGACTTCACCTAATGATGATAAATCTGAGAGTTCACAAAAATAGTTTTAAAAGAAACAGTAAGCTAAATTACGCGTCACTTAGCAAATAATTCTATTTCATCTAAATTTATCTCCTTGCCCTGGCCGGTTTGGCTCAGTGGTTAGAGCGTCCGCCTGCGGTCCAGAGAGACCCGGGTTCGGTTCCCGCTAAGGGCATGTACTTCGGCTGCAGTTTGTCCCCGGCCCTGGTTGGGTCATGCAGGTGGCAGCCACTCGATGTGTCCCTTTCACGTCAATGTTTCTCTCTCTTTCTTCCTCTCTTTCCCTCCCACTCTATCTGTACAAAAAATGGAAAAATGTCCTCGGGTGAGGATAAAAATAAATAAATAAATAAATTTATCTCCTTTGCCAATGATGTAGCCAAGAAGGTGGATACTTTTATGGCTCTCTTGTGCTATTTGCATTTAATTATTTACATGCTGAGTACACAAAAACTCAGATTCTGTGCCCATGCTGCCCAATAAGGTAGCCAGTGGCCACATGTGGCTAGTTCTGTTTACGTGTAAACTACACAGGGGATATTGAAGACAATA